TGAGGTACTGTGTGTACCTACCTCACATTTATGAGACACATAGGATACAACCTGTGATATATGGAAATAACTTTGAGCAAAAGAAATCCCCCCCCTCCCGAGACACCCACATGCATTTAGGAAGGAAAACAGAGTGTGTACCATAAATAGATGCAACATGTTGTGTAGTATCCTGTAAGTAATTATTAGAGATACCATAGAAGAAACAGCGACAGATTTTTTAGAAAAGGCATAGCCATATTATTCTGGAATATCAGTATGCAAAGGGTTCTTGTAACACCTTAGAGATGAAATGCTTATTTAATTAAGAACAGTGGTGCAAAATAGGTGTTGTCTAGTGCCCAGCCCTTGCTCTCCTGGAGCAATGAGACCTTGCTCACACTTTTACTGAACAGCTTTATTTGCCAAGGGAGCTACAACTAATATTTCCTTTGTACTACCAGAGAGGGAGAGAGAGGGAGGGAAGGAGGGAGGGAGGGAGAGAGAAAGAATTAACCAAACAGAAATGCCTTGCACTTAAAGTATGTGGGCAATAAAATCAATCTAATGGTTAGATAAAAGTTATTGAGCATTCCCTATAGTTACCTGTGTCTCAAGGGGTGTGTGTAGAAATACTGTGGACTGACAATCTCAAACTTGCTGCTTTAAGGAAACAGACAAAATGTTTCTAGAAGATGAACAGAAACTAGGAAGTTCTCATGATAAAGAACTCCAAAAATGCCTACATCCTGCAGTCAGTCCAGAATTTATGACCCAAAAAAAGGCTAAACCCACTACTTCTGGTGTCTAGACTGCAGTCCAAACACCATTGCCACAGTTTTCTGGACTAAATTAATCTGGAAAACTGTGGGAATACCCACCTCTCCCCTAAAGCCGCCAAACCCCTTTGAAAAGTAAAGAAAACTTACYTGGACTCCCCCCCCCCCCTCCTGAAGCATCATTTCTACATTCACCCCTATCAATTTTTTGTCAACCTTAACCTGAGCTGTTGCAAGACTGTACTGGAGCCTGGATAAGTTTTCTTTACTTTTCAAAGGGSTTTGGGGGCTTTGGTGGAGGTGGGTAGGACTTCCAGATGTTCTTGCAGGCCAGTCCCACAAGAGCATCTGGACACCCACCCCAGAAAGTTTAAAGCGCGAATGGTCCTGGGATAACTGCCTGTCCGGAACCGCCCTTACTCATATAATGTACTAAACATGGCATATAATGTTCTACCCTTGAAACCTGAAAGTAGGTTTTAGAATTAAAAGGAGATTAAATATTTTGAAATATTTTATACCAGGCCCACTCAACATAGGATTATTTCAGAAGTTGCTAACTTTTCATGGGATTGGGGAGAAGTTTCTTTCCAACTACAGCTTTAATAATTTTATGCCGTGATTCCCTGGTATCTGAAATTGATTTCAGTGGCTTTTCTCTTACACTTTCAGCTCAGAGTCCTGTGCTGTTAATACATACTTGTGCTCTCATCTATAGTTCCTAATTATCAGAAATAACTCTCCTTGCCCCACAGTTTATTTCAGAGTTTTGAATAGATCATAGAAGTTAAATGCCTCTTATCCAGAAATCTGAAATGACCTAAAATTCAAAATTGTCCACATGCGTGGCTGAGATAGTGACACAATTGCTTTCTGATGGTTCATAACTATTTCTTTATTTGCTATAGTTGTACATATGATGGATTGTAGCCCACAATCTTATTTTGCCTTACATTGTTGTTATGGAAGTTGAAAAGTAATATTTTAACCATATGGCAATCCATGAGGTAAATGGGTTGAATGACTGGGAGGTAAATTCTTTATTCCTGAGTAGAAATTATGTGAAATTGTAGTTCAAAAGGACTAAATCAGGGGTCCTCAAACTAAGGCCCGAGGGCTGGATACGGCCCTCCAAGGTCATTTATCCGACCCTCGCTCAGAGTCAACCTAAGTCTGAAATGACTTGAAAGCACACAGCAACAACAACAATCCTATCTCATCAGCCAAAAGCAGGCCCACAGTTCCCATTGAAATACTAATAAGGTTATATTTGTTAAAATTATTCTTCATTTTAATTATTGTCTTGTTTTAAAGTGGGTTTTTTGCACTACAAATTAGAAATGTGCAGTGTGCATAGGAATTCATTCTTCTTCTTTTTTTTCAAATTATAATCCAGCCCTCCAACAGTGTAAGGGACTGTGACCTGGCCCTCTGTTTAAAAAGTTTGGGGACCTCTGGACTTAATAATTGCACTATGAACAAATCTGATTTGCTTTTTCTGCTTTTCATTGGCAATGAAAAGGAAAGGAGTCACTGTAATCCTAATAAATAAACTTAGGAAATGACATAATAATTCTGACTAATCTCATTAACTTGGAAAAAATGGGTGGAGAAACATAAAGCCTTACTTTGCTGTTCTCCACATGTCTACTGAGCCCATTTGAGTTCGGTTCAGACAAACAACAACAGCAATATTAAAGAAATTACATATTCTCTGCATTTAAAATGTCCCAGTTTATTCATCTTGCAATTACTTTTCTCTCAGCCTACTCCAGTTGCTGTAAACTGAATTCAAAGTGCAAAAGTAGTTTCTACTTAGAAAGGCTATATGGCCTTTAGAACATGGCCATATAGCGCGAAAAAACCTACAACAACCCAGTGATTCCGGCCATGAAAGCCTTCGACAATACAGTTTCTACTTAATTAACTTAGTATTTATTATTATTATTTCAGGTTCTTATACCCCACCCTTCTCACCCCGAAGGGGACTCAGTAGAAGAGGAGCCAGCATGGTATTATAATTTGATCATTGGGCTATGACTCTGGCAGACCAGGATTCAAATCCCCACATTGCCATGAAACTCACTGGGTGATCTTGGACAAGTTATGTTCTCTTAGTCTCAGAGGAAGGCCAACCTCTGTGCATGGTGCAAAGGGAGAGGTGGAGTCTTGCCCTTTTCAGCAGGCTCAGGTGTGTTATTCATTAAAACCTTTTGCCATATTGACCATAAGTATCATGGTTTTGGGAGTGTATTAAATTATAGCAGCATAAGCTTTCATAGACGACAGCATCAGGGAAAGCTCTTGGTATAATAAATGTGTTTATATCTAATATGCCACTGGATATTATATTGTTTTTACTGTGGTATGCTACGTTTCAGCATGAATAACTCTTTAGCCAGGGAAAAGCATGTAGGACAGCACCTGTAGAAACACTAAAATACCATTGCTCCATGTGAGAAATGTGTGCATGTCTCTAATATGCCACTGGATATGGCATGTTTTAACCAAGTACAGTACACTGAAGATTGTAAAACATAGTCAATCATTAATGGAAAGGTAAATAGGAGCTTCCTTTGCTGGCAAGTATAAAATTCACCCCTATCAAAAAAAAATTTCAACCTTAACCTGAGCACTTAAATGCAAATTTGATTTTTATACTGCCACCCTGTGATTGCTTGTAGCAAATGCAACATTGCTTCTGCGTTGTGATCTGCTGGCTCACGTCCTCCATATGCAAGAGACTTTCTTTTTCTTTGCTTCATTTTAGCACAAAATCAATGAGGCATTGCTTGACCACAATGGAAGCACAGATATGCTAGAAACATTGTCTGTGGTTTAGTTCTGAACAGAAAACCAGATTTTTCTTTGTGGTTTTCCACACATGGAAATCTGCTGGAAAACACATTTTAAACTAGGGCATCAGTTTTGATGAAGACGGGAGGGGGAGAAGAGATTGTTAAGGGATTGTGAAGTTTTGCAGGCTTCTGCTGTATGAAAGTCTACCCCAAATCCTGCAACATTACATGGATTAAAACTGGGGCACGTGGTCAAGCAATATTGGAATGTGGTCATGATGGCAAAAGTTGTTAATGATGATGAACACACAACCTAGAGGAGGCTGGTGCAGAAGTTTGTTTTTACTTCAATCATTGGGGAAGGACAAGACTCCACCTCTCCTTCAGCTCCCTTCTTTTAAGTTAACAGAGTGCAAACTACTTTTGCATTTTGAAAACAGTTTGCAGCAACTGAGACCCCTTCTTCACTGCCATATAATCCAGATTATCAAAGCAGACAATCCATTGTATCTGCTTTGAACTGGAATATATGAGTACACACTGCCTTATAATCCAATTCAAAGCAGACAATCTGGATTTTATATGGCAGTGTGGAAGAGACATGAAGTATGCCAAAGACAAAGGTAGAAAGTAGTAGTAGTAGGAGAGAAAAAATAGAACATTTTAAAACCACCTGAAAAAGTAAGCAGAGGATTAATCGGGACTATACTTGTAAAATCGGGAAGGCTGGAGTGGAGACTATGTCATCCTGATATGGGGCCGTCAGGATAGAGGTTTGCCATCCAGTTGGAGAAACTATGTTTAAGAAGTGGATTTTTCTGTTCTTTCCTTATCTGAACAACATCTTTAGCATGTTCTAGCAAATTGTGGTATGCTTGGACATGCACATGCATGCAAAATTGCAACACATATATGTTAGATAATACTTGCATGAGTAAAAACTCCCCCCCCCCCCTCCATCTCTAAAGAACCAAGGGATCCATCTAAATTGGGCAGTCTAGGAGTTTTGGGGAAAGAAAATTACCCAGAAATATGAAGAAACTGGTAGAATTCATACAAAACATAGGCACGTGTAACCCAACAACATCAGAGTTTGGTCAAGAAAGCAAAAAATTATTAATGAAGAGAAAATAGGGAATGGTGCAATAGTTCACTTTTGTTTTTTGCATTGATTTTTAATGTATTTATGTTGTTTTGATAATTCTATGCTTCTGTTTTGTGTACTATGTATGTTGGTGTTTTGCTATTTGGAAACCTCCCTGAATCCCCTAGGGGAGATAGAGTGATATATAAATAAAGTTTTATTAATATTATTATTCACTTTTGCCTGAGCCCACTGAAAAGAGCAAGCATGCAGTCACCTTTTCTCTCCCTTATGCTCACTTAACAGAGTGCAAACTACTTTCAACTCAGTTTACAGTAATTGCAGTTAGCTAAGAAGAAAGGGGAATTGAAAGAAGAACAGAATAACAAAGACATCTGCTGACAGAGTGGTGTTATATGATTTCAGCTCCGTTAAAACTGTGAGTTTGGGGCCCGTAGTACAGAGCTTCTAAAGGACCAGATAGAACACAAACAGGCTGAAGGCAAAATCAGAGTCTTTATTTCTCATTGGCCAGAGAAGATATCAGTAGAGATAGCCCTCCAAAAAATGGTATGCTGCAATAGTTAATACAGAGCATTTTTATTTTGACAGCTATTCAAGAAATCTATGCCAGCTCCTGATTGGTTATGAAACAGCAAGAATCCAAGTCTGGAGTGGCTCAGCACTCTGTCTGACACCATCACTGGTTGGCTCTTTGTGGTGGTGGGAAATGTAATAAACTGTAATTGGAACATTTGAAGTATCTGTCCCTATATTGATCCTTCTACAAGAGGAGTACAGTCAGAAAGGAATGTGGTATGGCAATTGCCAGTGAGTCCATGATGGGCTTAATTGTTGGGGTCTGGTGGGCAGAGTGAGGTTAGTCCAAAGTACACAATGGGTGCTTCAAGATGATGACCATTTCAATGGATGTTGTGAGGTTGAGGCTGGCTTGAGGCATGGGAGATGGATTATTTTCACTGAGAGTTCCGATCATATTGGAACCAGGAAAAGGGACCCAGGAGTTCTGACACGAGTTTCATTATGTGCTCCGTCTCTAAGTCTGTTATGGATATTCTAAAGGATTGTTTCTTGGGGTCCGACAGGGTTTTAGACAACATTCCAAAGTCAGTTCATGAAGAGCTTCCTGCTGGGGAAAAGTGTGTGCATTCACTGTATGTCAATAACAGTGGAAGGACAGAAGATAAAGTTGGATAGTTAGAGGATAGATGAATGACTACTATTATAACAAGGCGGTAACTCACTACGCATTATTTTAGAATCGGTAACATATTGACTTGTAAAATGTGCAATCAAAATCAATATGAATGCAGTATGGCAAGCAAGTTAAAAATTAATTATGTTGAATAGCCCCACCTCTTTTTTAGAATTCAACAACATTTATAAAAACAGGAAATTGAAAAATGATCTGAAGTATATAAGGAAACATAAGGAACAAAAGGGTTCTGTTTTTAAAACCGAGCGTGAGATAATGAAATAACCTTAATAATGACAGTCACCAGATAATAGGATTGTTGACATTGGGACTGTCTCTACAATCCTTTAAAGATTAGATTAAAATACCTTGTTACATTGACCTCTTATGTGTGTGTCAACTCTTCCCTATTTGGAATCAACCAGACCGTCTCCCTAGTTACAACACCTAGCATTACAACCTAACTATATTATTACAGCAACACAGGGTCTTGGCTATTATCACAGTAAATAAACAATAAACAATCCAGATTATCTGCTTTGAACTGGATTATATGAGTCTACACTGCCATATAATCCAGTTCAAAGCAGATAATCTGAATTTTATATGGTGTCTATAAGGGGCCTATGCGTTCTATAACATGCTGCCATGGCAGTTCAAATAGAACCACAGTGGTATCACTGGATAGTTTGAAAGGGCCCAGGTAACCAAGCTTCACTGCTATTCCATCATTTGAACTACCAGAAAGAGTAGACATACTATCTGATGTTGGTAAAGTCTTGCAACCAAAAATGTTTACTGAGTCCAGTAATCAATCCATCCTGCCACTCCTGCAACGATCTAGTGATGGAACTATTTTCTCTTGCAGTTCCCCTGCATCCTCAAAACTTGTTTTGGGAAATACAGTAGGTATGAGTCACAGAGAACTACAGGGAGTGATAAAATATTCCATTATGACATCCAGACAAGACAGAAGTGCTTAGGGACAGTTGAACGGCAGATTAGCACAGGCTAAAAGCGATTCAGCCAGGGCTGGTTAAGCGTTACACTTCCCATGAAATCTCAGACTAGCTGTTGGGTGTCTTCTCCTGGGTTCAAAACTGATGCTTAGGTTTCAGTGGTGGTCAGGACTCTATTTATCTAGTTAAGACTAGTACACCAAATGAGAAGCCAGATCTGGTTGGGCTACTGTAATGCAGGGCTGCCATTGGAAACTGGAAACTTCAGCTAATCTAAATGCTGTGGCCAGGGTGCTGACTGAGGATAATCAGAAAAGCATTAAATTTCCTTTTTGGAACATGTCCTCTAGCTACTGTTATGATCCGTAAAGGCCTATATAGCTTAGATCCAGGGTACTTGAAAGACTAAATCTCCCTATACAAACTAGCCAAAGCCTTAAGTTTCTCAGCAGAGTACTTTTTCTTGCTCATTTAGTGGGAATGTGGGGGGGAGCTTTCTCAGTGGCTATCCTCGCCTTTTGCAATTCCCTTCTATGGGAGGCTAAGCTGACCACATAGCTGTTCTCTTTTTGCTGTCAGGCAAAGGCTTTTTGTTTCCATAGACTTTTAATATGTAATTACTTATAGAAAGGCCTCTTGGGTGCTTTATTTTTTAAATATTTTTATGTTTTTAATAAGTTCATACTGTTTTTATCTATAATTTTAATGGAATGGTCATAAATGTGTTTTAAAATTAGTTGCTTTTAGCTTCTTCTTCTTCTTTGTGAATCACCTTGGATTTTAATCCAGAAAAAAAGGTGGCATGTAAATGAAACAAACAAAACAGATAGCATCCAACCTTTATATCCCTGCTATTGCTACCCAACCTTCCCAACAGAGTTTCCAAATAGCATGCTTTCTCTTGGCCAGGGTGAGCCTGTGCTGGTAAACGGGCGATGCTTTGCGCTCGGTGGCCCGGCATGTCGTATTTGACATCGTGATTTTGCCTTTGCATGCCTTGACTGAGACTCCGCAGGCATTAATTTGCCTAGCGGTCAGCCCCACTTGCTGGTGCTTGCTCGACATTCTTTTCTCTGTTTGTTATGCATGGTTGGCTCTGCCCTGAACTCCAGCCCTACTTATATCTCCCTCCCAGCGACGACCTTGCCCGGTGTTCTGGGATCCTCTTCTGACGCCCATGGTGTGAATTTGCTTGCGAATTTGAGAGATTTTGGATATGCTTCTTTTTTGTTTGCTCTTTGGCTTGATCTTGCCTTCGACCTCCCCTGATGCTGAATCCGTACTACTGATGGATTAATTTTTATTTTGTCACTCTTTGCTGCTGATCCCCATAACCCTAACTTCTGATTCTTTGCTCGGAAACCCGCTGCTCCCTTTACATGCTGACCTATGAGGATTAAATAAGGAAAAAAGAAAAAAAAAAAAGGGAAAAAAGCATCCGCCTTCCCTGATCATCCTTGACGGATCTGCTGACTGCCGTCGGTGTGAACTGAGGATAATAAAATCCTCTACAGTCGTGAACACTCCACGAGGATAAATAGAATATGGAACCCTATTGTTCGAGGATTAAATTCACCTCCTGAGGAAGCCGCAGAAGGGTTTTCTGCTCCGGTCCATCTGCGCGGTCTCGGCCTGTGAACTACTCCCCTGGACTCATCCGACCCTGACCTTTTACCCTTTCCGAGGGGCTGAGGATATAGTGAAAGGATTAATCAGAAAAAAAAAAAAAAAGGGGGATCATTGGACTAGAGGATAGGATTTTTGCTCTCTTTACTGATTGACTGCTGGCAGAGTCCAATGTGCTTGTACTTCCTGGGGCTAATCAGAAAAAGGAAAATAAGAAAAAAGAAAAAAAAAGCTTTGGAACCCAGAGGATTATCAATAATTGTGGCCAGGGTGCTGACTGAGGATAATCAGAAAAGCATTAAATTTCCTTTTTGGAACATGTCCTCTAGCTACTGTTATGATCCGTAAAGGCCTATATAGCTTAGATCCAGGGTACTTGAAAGACTAAATCTCCCTATACAAACTAGCCAAAGCCTTAAGTTTCTCAGCAGAGTACTTTTTCTTGCTCATTTAGTGGGAATGTGGGGGGGAGCTTTCTCAGTGGCTATCCTCGCCTTTTGCAATTCCCTTCTATGGGAGGCTAAGCTGACCACATAGCTGTTCTCTTTTTGCTGTCAGGCAAAGGCTTTTTGTTTCCATAGACTTTTAATATGTAATTACTTATAGAAAGGCCTCTTGGGTGCTTTATTTTTTAAATATTTTTATGTTTTTAATAAGTTCATACTGTTTTTATCTATAATTTTAATGGAATGGTCATAAATGTGTTTTAAAATTAGTTGCTTTTAGCTTCTTCTTCTTTTTTGTGAATCACCTTGGATTTTAATCCAGAAAAAAGGTGGCATGTAAATGAAACAAACAAAACAGATAGCATCCAACCTTTATATCCCTGCTATTGCTAAATAATGATCATAATCATCATCAGTGGTAGAAGAAGATAATGCTGGTCTTTAGCAAATTGAGGGGGGATATCTTGCTTGTCCATCACATCATATAGCTTTGAAAGTATTGCTCTAAATTACTTTACTATATTAAAACAAAGTTTATGCCAAGTTCATTTATTGTCTTTTAGAAGTAAAATATATAAGCTTCAGTATTTCCCCTCCCAACCTTTATATCCCTGCTATTGCTACCCAACCTTCCCAACAGAGTTTCCAGTGCATTTGTTCATTGTAGACTCCACTGTGTGAGGTCAAAAGGTGCTACGGCATGACTAATGCCATGTTTACTTTAAAACCCTGCCAGGCATACTTCACATTTTCATGTACATACTTGTGCAATGTGTGGAAGTTATTGATACAAGAACAATGAAGAGCAATGAAATCAAGATGCAATATTCATTGCAAGCTAATTCAAGGAAAGAACCATTATCAGCATCGCAGATTGTTTGAAAACTGACCAGCTCACCACACGTTTAGATCTTATGTAGCTTGAACCTCACTCTACATCTCTATATATTTGCCTGCTGGCATACGATGATATCCTCTGGGAACACAGTAACTTGCATCAAAATCAAAAATCTGGGAAAATGCCACACTAAGTTCATGACTGTTTACAAAGAAAACTATGCAATGAGACTTACAGTGCAAGTCCATTCGTGTACGCACTGGAGGAAGTCTCATTAGAGGTTACTACTAAAGCCGGAAATTTTGAGTTTTTCTAAGGCCCATGGTTACTGAGGGATGCCTGGCGAGCTTCACTAACCATGGATGCTTTGAGTCAGAAATCAGGAATCAGGAATCTCACCAGGTTGAAGGCAAATGACAGAGGCCTTTATTCAATTTCTGCAAAAGGGACACTCATACAGTACAGATGCTCAAAGGGTAAAAGTGTAAAAGCATTATCGTAAGTGGACATTTTTATACACAAGAATTTTCAGGCACTAATATTGTTACCTTTTGAAACTCCCTCCCTGATTGGCCAGCACTGAGAAGCCAGCCAACGTCCTCTTGGCCTCTGATTGGTCAAGAGGCAGATCCAAGCCTGTGCATGCTGTGATTGGAGGTGGTGGTGGTGATGTAG